CGCTGGAGCCGCTGCAGGGCCTGGGCCAGGAGCGGGACGGTGACCGCGTCCCCGGCGTAGGCGCAGTGAGCGACGAGCTGCTCAAAGCCAGACATCCGTCCCAGCGCCTGCGGCGCGACCCCCAGCTCCAGCGCCACGTGGCCGAAGTTCTTCGCGCCGTTCAGGGAAGGGTCCAGCAAGAAGGCGAGCGACTGCACCAGGGACCGGGGCAGCTCTGCTACCGGGAGACCTGCGGGCAGCAACACAGCAAAGCGGGGTCAGAAACCAACCCACCCGGCCAGGACAAGGACAAACAGAGCAGCCGGGCCCCAGCTCCTCTCCCTGCCAAGCCGCGGAAACGACATCCTGCCAGGGCAGGTATCTCCTCCAGCACCACCTAGCACGGAGCTGGCTCAGTCTCGGGGAGGCCGGCAACTGGTGACAGCCGGGCATCCATCCACCACCCAGCCGCAGACTGTTCAAGGCTGATTCACAGAAAATCTACCCTGCGAACTAGCACCAGAGGCCATGGAAGTCAGACGAGCCCCTGGGATGACTGGCACCTCCACGTAGCCACGCATGGACTTCTGGAGGAGGCTCCCTTCCCAGAATCTGCCTCTCCCTGCTACTCTCTCCAACGCTTGGAGAACAACGATGCGGCTGGAAGGACACCTACCCTTCGCCGTGCTGCTGATCTGAGTCACGAGGCTCTGGGCATCATCCACCTGGCGAGACAAGACCCCAAGGTTGGTGGCAGTCCGGCGAGACCAGCAACGCCTGTCACTGCTCCCAGGGCTGTCCCAGAGGCTCAGAGGGATGGCACTTCTCCTGCCAGCACTACCACCCCACAGAGCCAAGGACCTCCTCGGGATGCTCCAGGGCCTCCCAGCACACTGCTTCCATAAAGGGCCACCTGGAGCTAAGCTGCTAAACGCGTCTCTCTGCCAGACATCTTCCGAGCCTCGGCGATGTTAGTCACCAGGCTCATTACGAGCTCAGCAGGGAGGGAGGAGGAACCAGCCCCCTCCCCGGCGCCCGGTCAGCTCTCTGGAGAGCAAGAGGACAAGCACCACTCGAGGGCAGGTCAGTTACAGACACGCTCATACACTCAGTAAACCAACTCTGCTCTTACAGGCATTTGAAACCGCCCCAGCAAGTCCCGTCTCCACGGCTGGTGGCCTGCTGAGCTACACACCACCAAACATCTGGCAAAGCATTTTCGGTAATTACCAGTCAGGCTCAGATATTAATGGACCCCAGTCTGCATCCCTAACCCGCCCTGTGCCCAAGCCCCCGGTGTCCGGTGGCAGCTCAGAGGAGCAACGAGGACGGAGGAACTTACCTGCTGCTCCCCGCTCTCAGCGGTGGGATTCGGGCAGGTGGAGGGCGGGTGCTGGGCCCCCTCCTGCCCCGCACCGCCGGCCTC